GGAAAGAGAGGAAAGGGCAGTGCCATGCAACTGGTGTGAAAGTTCTGTAACGGTAACCTGGACACCGAGGCCCCCACTTCAAACTTTATTCCAAAAGAAGAGCAAAGACAAGAGGGCAAACACAGGAGAACAAGAGGTGTTTCCAAGCCCTGGCCCCACAATCCAAAGTCTGGGGTTGGAAAGACACTGAGCATTCGGGGTGACACCGAAAGGCACCCAAATGTCATCTTTCTCTCCCAAGTTAACTGCGTTCTCAGTGCCACCACTTTATCTGAAAAACAGGATATAAAAAAAATGGGGTGCTTTCCCATAAAACTTTAAAACAGTTTATTTCAGAAAGGAAGGTAGAAAGATAAAGGTGGTTAGAGCTGACACATATTTTGCCAGATGACTACACAACGGCTTTGACTTTGACCACTAATCCATTCAGCACAGGGCCTGCGGACTGAAAGGTCCCAGGTTCGATTCCGGTCAAGGGCATGTGCCTTGGTTGCGGGCACATCCCCAGTGGCGGGTGTGCAGGAGGCAGCTGATCGATGTTTCTCTCTCATCGATGTTTCTAACTCTCGATCCCTCTCCCTTCCTCTCTATAAAAAAAAGAAACTGATATACCATAGGGAAGAGAAAAAAAAAGGTAAAGAAGATGGCAGAGCAAGAAAGAAGCTTTTGCAATAAAAACCTGAGAAATAATCAAGGGAAGTCTCCGGCCGGGACAGAGCCAGCAGGCCAGCACTGCCTGAGGAGGGAAAGGTTCCGAGGGCCAAGCAAGAGGGTGGTCCCAGTATGAGGTCATCATCCGAAGGCCCTCTCGGTATAGCTGTGCGCTGATGGTGAGATTTGAGAAATAGCTACTAAAATGAGCTAAAGATTTCCAAAGTGTTTTCCATCTCAGGCATCCGAGTCACTAATTTCTGAGGCTTCAGTGGACCCCGAGAGAACGAGTGAACAATGTTAAAGACAAAACCAGAAAGTCACTGAACTTCTGAATGGAAGTCCAGACATGGAAACGCCTGATTATAAATAGTAAATCACTGCTACAAACCATGAAATTAAAAATGCCGGCTTCAGATTACTGACAAGGAAGATGCTCGGAAGATTTTTAGCTAGTAAGAGGTGGTAAACAGATGAAGCATATCATATCGTTTATTAAAAAGGTTTAATATTTCTACATCTTCTATTCGTTAAAAATCACATGTTCACAAATCCACTCACAATCCGAATGCTTCCTCTAAAACAGTTTTGGTTTGCCTACTGTGGAGTTTAATTTTTTTTCATCTTCAAGATAAAAAGGAACCATTCGTTTTGCTATCTCAGAAGACCCTCGTAACACGCTCAGGGTCAGTTCCCAACGTTGTCCTGAGGCGGGTCACACTGCCATTTGAAGCCCTTCCTCTGCGAGTGAGGAAGGAAACAGACCGGGTCCCCACGCTCTGTCTTCCCTTAACCGTGTGATTTGGGGGGAAATCGCTGAACACTCTGGTTTTAGTTTTCATCTCCAGGGCAGTGGTTCTTGGAGTACGGTGATGGGCTCCCTTGGGGGGTCTTGGAAACACTTTAGGAAGTCCATGAAGCCAAACTATTTTCATAATAATGCAGACATTATTACCTTTTTCAATCTCACTCTCTCAGGAGTGTACAGTGGGGTGTTCAGAAGCAACGTGGCATATCCAAAATGATCTGAAAAGGCTCTTAAAATGCTCCTCCCCAGGCCTGGCCTGCGTGGCTCAGCAGTTGAGTGTCGACCTATGGAACCAGGAGGTCATGGTTCGATTCCTGGTCAGGGCACATGCCCAGGTTGTGGGCTCACGATCCCCAGTGTGGGGCGTGCAGGAGGCGGCCGATCAGTGATTCTCTCTCATCATTGATGTTTCTCTCTCTCTCTCCCCCCACTCCCTTCCTCTTTGAAATTTTTTAAAAAAATGTATTTAAAAAAATATTCCTCCCCTTTCCAACTACATATCTGTGTGGGGCCAGATTTTCTTTCTATATTTTAACCACAACATCGTATCACAACAGACTGGATGGATAAGCAGATAGGAGATACCAGCTGTCTTCAACTGAGCAAATCTGAGATTTGCAAAAATATAAATCAATGACATTCTCATTAAATTTTATGGTTTTAGAATATACAGCTATTTTTCATTAAAATACATTATTTATGTAATAGATTTATCATTATTTTCAATGACTTTAAAAATACTTTTAATTTATAATATGAAATGCTGATATTTATAAACCACATAAATAAAAGCTTGTTGGGGTCCTCAATACTTTTTATGTAATGAGGTCCTGAGATCAAAAAGTTTGAGAACTTTTGGGATAGAATTCCAGCTCAAAAAATCTGTGAGTTACCAAATAACTATGTGAAACATAGGCTGACTCATTTTTCTATCTCTTTGTTTTATTTTCTCAAGTTGAACACATTTATTGCATTCTCTTTTTTTGTTGTTGTTTTTAAACATTTTATTTTGAAGTAACTTTAGATTTATGAGTTGCAAAGATAGTACAGAGGGTTCCGGAATGCCCTTCTCTCAGCTTCCCCTACTGGTTGTTTTTTGTTTTTTTAATCTTTATTGTTGGGAGTATTACAGATGCCCCCCCTTTTCCCACCACTGCCCCCTCCATCCTGTTCCTGCCCCACCCCATGCCTTCACCACCCTCCTGTGTCCACAGGTAAGCTCTCTGGTTAATCTCTTCCTGCCCCTCTCCGCCGTTCCCTCTGAGATTCATCGGTCTGTTCCATGCTTCCATGCCTCTGACTCTGTTTTATTCACCAGTTTATTTTGTTCATTAGATTTCTTGTTTATTTTTTTAGATTCGATTGTTGATAGCTATGTATTTGTTGCCATTTTATTGTTCATACTAGAGGCCTGGTGCATGAAATTCATGCACTCGTGTGTGTGGGGGGGTATCCCTCAGCCCGGCCTGCGCCCTCTCGCAGTCCGGGAGCTCTCAGGGGATGTCTGACTGTCAGCTAAGGCCTGCTTCCCACAGGGTGGGCCTAAGCCGTCAATCGGACATCCTTAGCACTGCCGTGGAGGTAGAGAGGCTCCTGCCACTGCCACTGCGCTCGCCAGCAGTGAGCCTGGCTTCTGGCTGAGCAGCGCTCCCCCTATGGGAGCACACTGACCACCAGGGGGCAACTCCTGCGTTGAGCATTTGCCCTCTGATGGTCAGTGCACATCATAGCAACCGGTCGTTCTGCCATTTGGTAGATTTGCATTTTAGCCTTTTATTATATATGATTTTTTTCCTCCTCTTCCTCTTCCTTCAAGAATCTAAGATCCTTGAAAGTCTCATTAAATCCCTTGAAGCTCTCATGAAGATCCCTGAGTAACATTATAACCATGGTTTTGAACTCTGTATCCATTTCCTTCATTTGTGACGTTTCTTTATCTCCACATTTTGACTGCTTCCCTGTGTTTGTTTCTATGTATTAGGTAGAGCTGCTATGTCTCCTGGAATTGGAAGAGTAGCCTTGATAGTAGGTGTCCTGTAGGGCCTAGTGGCTCAACCGCCTGTACACTGTCTCCTTATTTTTTATAGCATAATAACATTTATAACAAAAACTATAACTAATTGTAAATTATGGAATTCCTCCCCACAATTCTCATTTTTCTGTATTTCCCTCCAAGTGTATAAAAGTTTCCATGTAATTATGTGCATAGTGTAGTAAAAATATATAAGCTGTTTTTTCACTTAACATTTTATTAAATATTTTACTGTTTTCCTACAAGGTCTTTATTTCTAATCATTTTAACAGCTGCCTGATGCACTGAGCAAAAACACCATGATTTGTTTATATCTTCCTCAATAAAACTGAGGCTCTTTCTCTCTTTGTATATATTTTTTCTTAGAAAGGAGTGGTTCTATTTGTTGCCTACATCACCATCCTCTGTCATTCTAAACCTCAATATTGACAATTTCTTACCCTAAATGCCATTCTCAGTTCCCTCCCTACAACCTTGGCTAAATCTTTCCTGTTTTAAAATGAGAGTGGAATCATCTCTTAAAAATGAGAAATCCAGTATTACATGAGGAAACCAGTAAAATAATTTAGCATTAGATCATTATAGCTGCAATTTCCAATCTCATCATTTCCATTAAAAATTCTTGCCTGGCTCGTGTGGTTCAATGGTTGCACATCGACCTATGAACCAGGTGGTCATGGTTTGATTCCTGGTCAGGGCAAATGCCCGGATTGTGGGCTTGATCCCCAATGTGGGGCCTGCAGGAGGCAGCCAATAGATGATTCTCTCTGATCACTGATATTTCTATCTCTCCCTCCCCTTTCCTCTCTGAAATCAATTAAAAATTTTTAAAAAACATAATTCCTCAATAAGTCACAATTTGGAAAAACAACAACTCTCTTTCCTTATGGGCAACAGGTAAATATTTCTTATCCATTGCCCTATTACTTATTTGATAATCAGTTAAAGTATGACATCTAGTTCAAACTTGAAAACAACACTTTAAAAAACTTTTAGGTTATAATGATTTCATCTAACTTTTGTGTAGAGTTAGAAAAACATTTTACCTGACAAGGACAAACATGCTGGTTACAAAAAAAAACTAGTTCAAGGACTAGTGCTATGGGCGAGCCTTTATTATTATTAGACAACGACTTTGTCCATACCCACAGATTTAGTCTGGACTTTGAAAATTAAGAGTACTTTGCAACGACATAATAATGTAACGTTGCTGCACTTTTGATCAGAGCTATCTTATTTATTATAGCTAAAAGGATATTTGGGAAAACTTCATTTCCCTCTCTGCAAAGATTGTTTCATTTGAGAAAATCATGGAATAATATCAGGGAAAACAAGGTTGTAAGTACATCCATGAGCTGTAAGTTTTCTATTAGGATTCAAGCCGAAGACCCTTTCTCATGCCTATTTGATTTAAAATCCTTACTCGATCAATCCCACAAATCCTAGTAAGCACTGATCATTTTCCAGACACTGTTGTCATGGGGATGTAAAGTTGGAGACCAAGGTGCATCCCTCCAGGGCGAGAGTGAGCTGGATGTGACATGCACGGGGCTGCGGAGGAGGAGCAGTTAATCCCACATGAAAGATTCAGAGCATCAAAGGGGATACGTTAGCTGGGATTTGAAATATGAGGCCTTTGTTGGAGAAGAGGGGTCAGGGGTTACTGGCATTTCAGTGACAGCTAATAGCATAAACAAAGACAAGAACTGTGTTAGTTTAAGATTCACTCAAAAGGCACGTTACTCAACACAAGAGATAGGCAAATTAAAAAAGATAACATTTTTCACCTATCAGATTGGCAAACATTCGTAAGTGTAAGAACATGCGCTGATGGCAAGGCTGTGGGGAAACCGATGTCCCTACAGATTGCTGGTGGGAAGGTCAAGTGGTGCAGCAACTGGGGCCGCAGCAATGTCTGGAAGATCCCGGGCACCGTGACGGAGAGGGCTGAGGAGTCGTGTGGAATGAGGGTGAGAGCTAGGCAGGTGTTCAGAGTGATAAGCAACATGGTGCCATGATAAAAACCGCATCCAGCCCGGCCCGTGTGGCTCAGTGGTTGAGCATCGACCTATGAGTCAGGAGGTCACGGTTTGATTCCTGGTCAGAGCACATGCCCAGGTTGTGGGCTAGATCCCCAATAGGGGGCGCACAGGAGGCAGGCAGCCTATAAATGATTCTCTCTCATCATTGACATTTCAACCTCTCTCTCCCTTCTTTCCTCTCTGAAGTCAATAAAAAAATAAAATAAAATAAAAAAACAAACCTCATCAAGTAGGAAATAGGAATTAGTCATGTGCGTTTTTTAAGCGAAATCAGGACATCAACTGAACTGTATTTTAAAATGATGACTCACATTTGCTTGTGATTAAAAGAAATAATAAAAGAAGCTGTATCTGAGGAGGCATCATCCTCTTCTTTAAACTGCCTTTAGGCCATGAAGTAAAGCCACTAGGAGACCAGGGTCCTCAGGTTTTTGGGCGAAGCATTTTTCTGCTTTGCCTGAAGGAGGTGAACCATGGAGCTCTAGGGTAGGAGGCGACTGGGGGTGAATAGCATACTATACTTATCATCCAGCTTCAACAATTCTCAGCAGAGGACTAATTTGTTTCATTTATGCCGTCTCTCTCCCTGCAACCTGGATTATCTTGAAGCAAATTCCAGACATATTATCTCTTGAATTAACTTTACTCCGATGTTTTATTATATGGACACCTCGGATGCGTCTGAGGCTTAGAGCATTCTTGTAAGAGTCGTTTTGTGGGCATTCCTTTTTATTTCACGTGGGAAGAAACGTAGGAGTAGAATTACTAGGTTAAGGGAAGGTGTCTGTTTAAGTTTAAAACAAGCCACCAGGCCTTCTTCCAAAGGGGCTGTAGGAGAGTTCCGGCTGCCCCAAACCTTTGCCGTGATTTGGTGTCAGTCACTGAATTTTAGCTATCCCAGTAGATGTGTTCTGTTGAATTAACTTATAAATTTTTGTTGTTGTTGTTGTGTTTTTAAAACTATTAAACTACATGAAAATACATCCCTTATTTGGGTTAGTTTGTGAAAAGCAGGCAAACTGTTTTTTTAAAAAGTATCTGATGGTGTATGAGCTACCTCGAATTTAAAAAAAACACAAAACCGGCCGTAGGGAAACACACCATATGGGAAAAACCCATTTTCAAAAAGAAACCCCAAACTCATTGAATTTAACTCCTGCTGCATGAAACTCTGTCCCAAGTCTCATTTTGTTGTTGTTATTATAGTCATAGACCAAACACAATCCAACTTTCCTGTGGATGAAGATAAGCTCCTTTGATTTTTCCAAACCTGCCATGTATAAAACCAGACTGAGTTTTTTTTAACAAAAATCTGAAGCAAGTGAAAAGCAACGATTTGGTTGTGAGTTCAAAGGCCTGACAATCATGACATAGGTAATTTGCAGAATCCTCGACAGCATTCTTAGAATTAACAATTAGAATTTTTAAAATATTCTTCAACATTTTAAACCAGGGGGGGGCGGGGAGGATGTCCCTCAGCCTGGCCTGCGCTCTCTTGCAGTCCAGGGCTCTTGCAGTTCAGGATCCCTCGCTCCTTACAGCCCGCCTACAGCGGAGGCGGGAGAGGCTCCTGCCATCGCCATTGCACTCACCTGCCGTGAGCCTGGCTTCTGCCTGAGTGGCACTCCCCCTGTGGGAGCACAATGACCACCAGGGGCAGCTCCTGCATTAAGCGTCTGCCCCCTGGTGGTCAGTGTATGTCATAGCGACTGGTTGTTCTGCCGGTTGTTCCACCATTTGGTCGATTTGCATATTAGGGTTTTATTATGTAGGATTAGATTCTCATTACAGTACTCACATTGTAAGTAAATCCAAGATTACCTTAGATAGTACCCCACACAATGGTCAACCATTGGTCAAATGTTGCTCTTCAATGGTACTTCTTTGTATAAAGTCTCCTCCCCATTCTGACACTACTTTACTTAATAGGTATATTCCATCACCTGATCGGTTTTTAGCCTGACCTCCAGGAAGCTCCTGTGTAAACAGCTACATGGACATCAGATACAAGAGTACCTTCCCCCCAGTATTGTGGTGTCTTCATCATCGTCACCTCAGTTACAGTTCTGGAGGGTGTTTTAATGCCGAAGGACACTTAACTCCAGGATGTGTTTGGACTGCCTCATGTTATCTGAAAATGCCTATTCAGGGGGGAAATGCACACTGTGCTTTATTAGAATAAACTGAAGCACAGAGATATTCTTAACACACTAAAAGCTGATATTGCTATTTATGCTGAGAGAAAAACAATAGTGTACAGAGGCTAACTTCCACAAAAACAATCAGCCAAGTGTGTACGATTTGGGAAGAATATCTCCTCAGAAGTTACTAAAAATAACTCTTCTATAATGGGTGCAACTTCAATGTTAACACTGAGAATCTCTAAACAAACTATAAAAGATTGTTTGGGAGTCTGAATTCAGATAAATATGAATTCTGAACTTTCAACGTAAAAAGGGGTGTATGTGTGTGTGTTTTTGGTTCTTTTGTGAATCAAAGTATCACAGGTCAGGAGGGTCTGTTCCTTTTATATTTTAACCTTTTATGTTTAAATAATTTCAGACTTACGGAAAGGTTATAACGGGTTATTTAAAAAATTCTATTTGCCATCAAACCAGATTCCTCAAATGTTAACATTGCAGTACAGATATCCTCTACCCTTATATTTTTATTTATTGTATTTATTTTTAAAAATTTTTAAAGTTTTTGTTGTTGTTAGTATCACAGATATCTCCCACTTTTACTCCCTCCCCCCAACCCGTCCCACCTCCCAGCCACACTGTATTTCTTAAAAACCAGGGTATTCTCTTAACTCAAATATCAAAATCAGGAACCTAACATTCACTGACAGAATTCTATGATCTAGTCTACAAACTTCCTTCTGATTTTCCCAACTGTCCCACTAA